GCCCAAAACACACGGCTCCGCCCACGGCTCCGGCCCGGCCCCGCCCTCTCTGAAAACACCCGCCAGTTCGTGACACAGGACGGAACAGGAGAATCTCTGTCTGCTGCTGCAGGCGGTTAACTGTAAGAACGGCCAAAAACAGTTAAAAAAACCCACCCAGCACAAAGGGGTCTTAAGAACAAAGGTAAATTTGCAGCATTAAAAATGTCTGAATTTTAAAAACTGCCGTGAGAACACGCCGCTCGGCAAGCACCCGCCCAGCCTCCGCAGCGAGGCCCTGGCACAAACACCCGGCTGCTGACAGAGCAGCGTTCGGCCCCTCGGAACACGAGCCAAGCTCGCTCTGTTGTCAGCGCTGACGTGCGGCGCCAGCACCTTGTCGTTCAGCACGCTGACAGCAGCTGAAACCCCGGCTCAGAGCAGGCATGCAGGGAGCGAACCACAGCTCAGCGCACCCTGAGCAAAGCCGTCTCCAAGCAGTGTGCGCAGCCCTGGTTTATCTTTTCGAGACAGCTTTCCCAGGGGTTTTATGCGAGAGGGTTTTTAGCACATTACGTGAGGAGACAGCTGACACCGCACTTTTCTACCAATTTCCGCACTATTGTGCACAAACAGGCGTAACAGCTATACGAGTTTTAGACACTTGCAAGTCTTTACCAAGAACGAATCCCAGTTTGACACAGAAGGTCATGTAAACATGCAGAAGGAAATGAGGAGGAAGAACGTGCCAGGCCTTCAGAAGCGACACAACAATGTGCAGAGACAAGCCACGCCTTTTTGCAGTACCCTTTACTGGCTCCTTTAACTCACCCCGAGAATTCACAGCCCAGACATTTTTCTCCAAAATGCATGCAAACATTGGGCTTTTTGATGTCTTATGGAAGTTGCCCCTCTCACAACGCAGTTCACTCTGTTCTCCTTTTAAATCGCACTCCTCCACAAGTTTTTCACGTGGTAGTACCAAATATCATAGCCCTGGGAAAGATACCAATACGTATCTTTCCATTTTATAATATTTACTATAGTTCATGTTTCTATGAAGACACAATTCATGGCCACAAAAATCTGAATTTTTACAGATTCATAAATATTTTTACATCATACAACTTTATTTACAGATATCACATGGCAAAGAGCTTTGCACCTGTAATACACTATTTTTAAATCCAATATAGGTTATTCTCTTAAAATAAGAACTGGCAAACATTTTGGGTCTAATTCAACCAATCCAGTGAGGAGGATTCCAGTTTTATTTCTAACCAGTGTGTTAAATCAAACCTACTGAAACCAAAAGTGTGTATCCCACATTCAAGACTGTCTTCTGTAAATTCTCAACTGAATTCTTAATTAAACTGTGATAAACAGGAGGTAGAAATTGTTTAGACTGTCAAAACCTATTACTGCTTCCAGGAGGCTGATAAATTAGAAATTTCTATAGCATCTAATATGCCTTCTCATTCCTACATTGACAAATCCATCTGTTTCTTTTTACCAGCCATTGGATAACTTGCAGTGGATACTTGCTCCCATACTGATCAGTTGTTCTACTTGACTCAGAAAGCCTCTCCCCGAAGCAATCATTAGTGCAGTCGCGCTGGTTTCGCTGTGCCTATAATCAACTGAAAAGTAAAAAAAAAAAAACAACCAATCAGCAAAACCCATATAAACGTTGTTCTTTTTTTCCTGTAAATGTAGTATGATTGTGACTTTGAAAACCTAGCCCAAAGAGAATTTGTTTCCACACTCCACCCCACCAGTCAGTCCGTGTGACTTGAACTCTATTTCAGAAACATAACATCTGTCAGTACTTCAAAACAAGTACAACAATGAATAACTACAAAAATCATTAATTTTGGTAACCCCATCCATTTCTTCAATAGGCATCAGAATTCAAAGGTAACAACCTTCGAAACTGGAGATAAAGCAGCCACAGAAATTCAAGTCGCTTTGTGGTTGTTTATTTCTGATGTCAAAGGATGAGAAACTTACCACTGACATTTTCGGTTAAAATGAGATGGAACACCTGAGCAAAGGAATCAATATCTTTATGCAACCAGATGTCAGAAAGACAAGAATCCATTTCTTTTATTAGCCATGGTTCAAGGCAATTCGCATCTTTTTCATTCTGAAGAAAAAAACAATACTGAAAGATGAATCTCTTCAAAGAGTTGTCATTATTCTCATACACTGGACACACACAGAGTTTGAACAGTTAGTTTTCCAAGTAACATCCAGAAATACAGCATTCAGATATCAGTTAAAGCATTTCTTGTATCATATGCAAGTACTTTAACAATGGCAGCACAGCCATCTGATCTAAACAAGTTATGTACAACTGAAAAGCACACTTCAAGAGTAGTTCATGCTAACAAAAAAAAAATCGTGTTTTCAAATACATTAATATCCTTCTAGAAACTCCACAGGAGTAATATCTTTAGAAAACATGGGTAGTAATAGAAAATGGGTAGTAATAATGTAATGCATGTTTAAACATCTCTTCCAACAAAAGGAAAAGCTTACCTGTTGATTAAATACCGTGTCACCACCATCATCCAACAGATTATACTCTTCAGTTGCACTTGGGACAGATCTCTGCCTCTGAGATTCCAGTTTGCTATTATTTTCTGGAGCAGAACACCACTCCGTAAGACTGCTTTGCTGTTTTTCTTCTAGAATGCATAAAGTATTTCCAAAAAATGTTTTACAGTCATCTTCATTATCCATTGTTTTCAGCTACCAAAAATGATCCTAGCAAGTCAAAGTTTTACCTGTTCAATCTCTTTTGTTTAATCTAGAATGCTCTTACCAGTTCAACGTAAATTCCATAAGTTAGGGCACCCAAAGTTCACCATTGCAAACATCTGCTATAAGAACAAGGTAAAACACACCCTTCGGGTGCTTAAGCCCCTAAGTCTCCAGTATTCCAACTTACTGCATTCAAATGAGCTTCCTAAGTAAATAATTTCTACACAGTTCTCAGTCCAGATCTTTCTCCAGAAGTGAAACACCGAAGAGAAGGGATATAGATAGCTCCTGCATGTGAAAACTAATTTTTTTGTACAAGAAACATTAAAAGACACCAGTGCCCTAACTGAACTTTTCTATCCACAGTGATCAGAGCCAAGCACCAGGACAAACATACATTTAGGATTTTATGTTACACCTTTGGGTTTTGCCTTTTTCTTTTTTGGGGGGGGGGACGACACACGACAATGTTTGCGTTTTTTTAAATACACACTAGGATCACTGCTTTCAGTCGTCAGGAAAACTTCTCAAACAATATATCTACTTAATCAATTGAAAAACAACTATATTACGTTCAAGTGTGTTTATGCTTCTGGGCTACATATCTGAAATACATCCATGTCTGAAGAACGCAGTGAAAAATGTTGCTAATAGGAACCACTTCCATGCAAGATGTGCAAAATCCCGCCCTCTTTAATGGCTGCACTTTAATTTGCACCCAAAAGTCAGCTCTATCCCAGCTGAAACCAGGACAACATAGTATGTTCTGCAAAGCCCCCAGTCACATGCAATTCCACTCCATAATAATTAGGAAAAACGTAACATTTATCAGCCATAAGCAAAAAGCATGCAACCATTGAAAGAAAGTGAAAATATTTTTTTTAAAGTTACACAAGCTACTTGAATAATGTAAACACTGAGAGCTACAAGATACTCGCTGTCATCTAATCAGGTCTCATTTAATATTCTGACTTTGAAAATCTAACAGAATCATCATATTTAGCTGTTCACTCAATGAAATCCACTGCCAATCCTAATAGTTAACAAGTCCACAAACCTCGCTGCTTCTCTTTTTTGTACTTTACCATCTGTTTGTATACCCAGTGCTTTGTAAAACATCCTCCAAAAACATCTCTTTAACTTCAAAAGGTCTTCCTTGTACTGAAAGCACAAATAATTAATAAAATATTACATATTCCCCAGCTTCATTTATAATCTTAATTTAAGAAAAGCATTTTTGAAGACACAAAAAGTGAATTAAACATTATTAGGGCCTGATTTAAGGAATTACTGCTTTCCTTGAAAAGTCTTGTAAGACTGTCTTCATTGGAGTTCATTTTCTTAAAATTACTGGGCCACTAAACTCAACAACACTTCAAAAGTGAAATGCCAGCTGGGTACCTTGTTTCTCATGAACCTCTTCAATTCCATTGAGTGTTACAGCACGAGATGCTCCTAAGATTCACAGTTATTAATTGTAATTTTATCAAAATGAGAAAAAGAAAAGAGCCATTTTTGTTTAGGGTTCCAAAAAAGAATTCACTGTGTAAACCTGCCACCTGGATTACAAAATATAACAGCAATTAATACAGCTTTAGTGCAAGATCCCACAAGCAGATTCCCACCTTTACATTAAACCACTTTTCTTCCATGAGAAGTATACCAGGAGATGGACTTCTCTCAACTTTTGCAATCACTTTAGCCAGATTTGGCTTTTTTTACTCAATACTTGCTGATAAATGAGACACTCCAATGGTATTTATCTCCTAAATAATTTACCCTGAATTCTTTTGGACTATCACTGTTTTATAAACCTTATTTATGGACATTAAAGCAGGGTTTTTTTCACAGGAAGTATTAAAATTTCTAGATTTACATTTATGGTACCTTAGCAGACATTTGCCATTGCTGAGGTTAAATCACCTAGGACTTCTCTTCAGAAAGAACAAGCTACATTTCATATACTTTTAGAAGCTGTCATGGAGGAAGTCTTCCAATACTGATCACAAACTCTGTGTACTACAGGAACCCACGACCACAAAATGTTGGTTTCTGTGGTCAGGATTTTGTCAGCTGTATTGTTGAAGGAGGACCAAGTCTTTTTCACAGCATGAACAGACAAAGTATCTAAACTGTCTTCTTGGAATTCTTAAATTCTCAAAAGTGGAAAACGGAAAGTATCTTTTCAATTGTGATTAGCCTATGAAGACGAGTATATGATCATGGTATAACCACTGAGGTAAAGGGGAGAAAGAGACTGTCATCGGCATTTCCTGAATAAACATATTGATTGAAACCAACAGGAAGCTACAAGAAGAGTAAACTGGAAAGCTACACAACAATTACAGGCGAGGTTTCTCCCCTTCAAAAAAAAATCTGGAAAACACTGAAATAGTGTGTAATTTCCAGATTCCTGCCTCCAACAAGTTGCAAGCCTTGCTTTTCTAGGCAGCAATTAGGAACTAAGAACTAAACACTTCGATCTGTAAAAAAATAGATGTTTTATCAGGAACATTCACTGAAATAAACTGACAACTTGCAGAGAAGATACTAAAGAGAGCAATCCAACCCATGCCCTGGGACTGTCCAGTTTCTTAAAGAAAAGCTGACATACAGACAGCCTACTTCACTGTTCTGAAAAGAAAGCATTTCTCTTAAAAGCGTCTTTTCAAAACGTATTCTACTCGGATATCATTGTTGGAAAAGGAAGAGGACTGCAAGGTGCCAGAGGAGGTCAGTCATGCAGAGAACTTACAAGCCAGGAGCGTGACGGGGCGAGGGGGAAAGCATCTCCCATGCATCTGTGTTCTACCTCTACTAACGATCAGTCCAAATGAAATTACAACAGCAATAACGATAATTTTGCATCTGAATGTAACCTAACCGCAGATTACTGAGTCTGAACATAAACTAATATAAATTGCCATGTCTTTTCTCAATGTTTACCTAGATTAACAGTTAGTAACTTCCTTTAAATTAAAGAATCATGTGATTAAAACATGAATACCCAGTTTGCCTAGGACTGTAATACTGAAGTGACCAGGTGCAGTTATCTGTGTTTTATCTGGTAACCAGCAGCAAACTTGCTGACGCCTGAAGAGCTAGAACCTACCAGAACAAATTAATATATATCACGCTCTGGTAGCTCCTAGGGCCACGACATCCCTGCACTTACAGAACTCCCTGGGATAAAAACACTCTGAAGCAGATGCAAATAGTTAAGAAACCACAAAAACAAACAAGCATTGCTGTAACTCTCAGTGTATGCATCATGTTCTCTTACTCAGAATGGTTTGCTACAGTTTAATAAGATCTGTAAGTCCTAGGGCAGGTATACTCAGATTTCAGAGTTTACATAAATACTAACTGTATATTACTGGGCAACTTCCAAAATATCTAATAAAGAGATTTGCATCTAGAGCAGCACTAGAAATAATTAGTTTTAAATTAGTCTGTTTTTGCAACACGTCTCTCAGTTTTATTAACAAGAAGTCACTGAACCTATCCCTCTCATGTACTTCATCCTATAACAAAAGGGGGAAAAAAAAGGCCACACACACAACAGAGAAACATCACAGATGTAAGATTATAACTTTTCACAAATATGAACTTTTTAAAAAACTCAAATATATTATTTGCTGGTACATTACAGACACATTAGAATGTGCAAGTCTAGCTTAAGTAAGGATTTTCTTACAAACTACCCAAAAGTCAAAAATATTTCAAAAAGTTTTAGAGATATCTGACAGATTGCACTAGTAACGCACAAACCACATACACCTTGATTTCAGAGGTTAAAGTGAACTTCTGAATCTTTTCTAATTCTTATAATCTCGTTTTCAAGATAATGACACAAACCGCAAATCCTACAAATCTTATTTTCATAAAATCTCCTTCACAATTGATGAACGTTTAAAGAAATGTATGATACCACATAATCAGAAAAAAATTAGATTGCTTAGATCCATTAAGTCATGCACAAAGCTTACCATTAATTACGGCACACGACTAATTAGCCATCTTTATTGGTGTGTTCTTCTGTTTTGTTTTGTATTATGAACTTATGAAGCAGGGACCCAAGTACAACATGTTTAGGCTGAAGTGAAGAATGTGTAAGTCATTCTCACACTTTTTTCCATTTTGATAAACATCCAGGGACCTAGAGCTATCATGAATTTTTCAGTGGAGACCTTAATCTTGCAGTAAACATTCCAGTTCCACTGAATTATCAAACTCCACCATAGCAATAGTCACACAACCATAAATGAACACACTTACATAATCTGCTGAAAATTAGACTACTCAGTATCTTGAAAACATCTGGGCAAACAAATGGACTGCAAACGCGGTATTGCTAAAACAAGCACATGATACAAGAAATTCTGACAGACACACTCACATTGAGTCCTATCTACGTAAGCCTCCCTAAGGCTTTTATGCTTTCTGACAGAGGAAGCTCAGAAAAATCTAGACCTCTGTCCTCCACAACTATATCATGATTCCAAAATTAATTACTGCCATGAACCTAAAATAAGGTACTTTTACGAAAAAAACAAACCAAACCAAAACGAAACAGTACACGCTACAATAAAGGCTCAGTAAGACTTTAACGTTAATTCAGACTCTATCCAAACAAGCACACCTTCAATGCTCAGCACGCTAATAAAAAAAAACGGATCTTATTTTCCGGTTAAGAAGCAATACATACTGCCCCACTTCACAGGAAATACAACGTGATCCTTACCACAATAACATGTGTCACAGCTGAGAGAGTGCTGTCTCCTGCCATTAGCGTGCAAAGTAGCACGCCATTAGTGCAAAATGTTAACAGTGTCTTTGGAGAAACCCTATTGAAAATTCATAAAGATACTTCAGGTTTTCGCACCATTTCAATGCTGCTAGCTTTCCGCTACTTGCTGAAAATTAAAGGACTGAAGAGCTGCTCACCAGAAGTGGAATTAGATTATAATTCTCTCACCAAAGAATTCACGCATACTGCTTGTTTTTGAACTCTGCTTGTTCCCAGAGTTCCTAAGAAATATTAGTGATTATGCTCCAATACTTCAGACGATGGATTAATTAACAAAGTGAGATTCAAATGTACATAAATAAACAAATAAGTGAAACAGAACCTTACGAACCTCCCCATGTTGTTTAATTTACTGAAAAATTCAGTGTGGACTGCTTTGGAAAAAGACACCATGTGTTTGGATATAGTCTTTGTGTTTGTCTACATGTGGTGGGTTGACTCTGGCTGGACACCAGGTGCCCACCAAAGCCGCTCTATCACTCGCCTCAGCTGGACAGGGGAGACAAAATACAATGAAAGGCTCACAGGTTGTGATGAGGATAGGACGAGACCAGTCACCAATTACCATCACGGACAAAACAGACTGAATTTGGGGAAATTAGTTTATCTCACTGCCAATCAAATCAGAGTGGGATAATGAGAAAAACAAAAAAAATCTTGAAACACCTTCCCTCACCCCTGCCTTCTTCCTGGGCTCAATTTCACTCCTGAATTCTTTCCCTCATCCCCCCGAGCGGCGCAGGGGGACAGGGAATGGGGGCTGCGGTCCGCCCATCACACGTTGTCTCTGCTGCTCCTTTCTCCTCAGGGGGAGGACTCCTCACACTCTTCCCATCCTCCAGCTTGAGGTCCCTTTCACAGGAGACAGTCCTCCACAAACTGCTCCAATGTGGGTCTGCGTCCTTCCCACGGGCTGCAGCTCTTCACGAACTGCCCCAGTGTGGGTCCCTTCCACGCGGTGCCATCCCCTGCTCTGGCGTGGGGTCCCTTCCACTGGCTACAGGGGGATATCTGCTCCACTCTGGACCTCCATGGGCTGCAGGGGGGCAACCTGCCTCACCTTGGTCTTCAGCATGAGCTGCAAGGGAAGACTCTGCTCTGACATCTCAAGCACCTCCTCCCCCTCCTTCTTCACTGACCTTGGTGTCTGCAGAGTTACTTCTTTCACATTGTCTCACTCCTCTCTCTCCACTGCCGTTTCACTGCAGTTTTTTTTCTTCCCCTTCTTAAATATATCATCAGCAAGGCGCTACCACCATCGCTGATTGGCTTGGCCTTGGGCAGCGGCGGGTATGTCTTAGAGATAGCTAGCACTGGCTTTATCAGACATGGAGGGAAGCTTCTTGCAGCTTCTCACAAAAGCCACCCCTGTAGCCCCCTCACTACCAAAACCTTGCCACACAAACCCAATACACTATACTTGACTGAATCACAAAGAAATCAGCTGATCATTTTCAAATGCTTTAATTTTTCTCTTCAGGAATTTCAAACTCTTTAAAGTTACTATTCTCATACCTGTGGCAGAGTTAGCCGTGCAAGTAAAAATAGCAATTGCCACCCCTTTTTCAGCGCTGCCACCTTCAGTACCCAAAAGTTGTTCTGTATCGTACTCTACAACTCCTTCCTGGAAGACATGAGCTCACTGGTTACCAGATGCGTATTTCTTTCCAAGTTTGCAATTCATCCCTCCTTTCAAAAATCCTCCTACATATTAAATTCAGGGACCACACCGAAGAGAGAAACGCTTTACTTTACCCATCTCTGCTCTTCTCTCTTCTTCAGCAGCCTTCCAGAAATCATCATCACTGTCCAATAGATAATAAAACTCCAAAATTAGACCCCTGTGTCACTGTAAACACACCCACCTCACATCTTTTTCACCCAGAGTCGGAAATACTGCCATCTCTTCCTTTTGCATGAATCTGTGGATTCTTCTTAAGCAGGATTTTCTGCACTGCTTCTAGTAATTCTTCCATTTTGATATGACCTATACTTTGTTCTTCTTCAGCCAGCATATACCTCCACACACAATCATCCACCTTGTCTGGAATTCATCTTCACTAGCTCTTTTCATCCCTTAATAGCCTTGTGAACTTTTGTACACATATTCAAATTCTTCTTGAACTTGGCTTTGCTGCTCAAGTGCATTCATGCTCATTAGCTATGTGATATCTTTACCCATACAAGCAACATAACCAGCTGTACCTTTTCCCATGTGCTTCTCAATCATATCCCAACCGCTGCCCATTCCTGGAAATCCCGCTATCCATACAGTTCAAAGAATCCAGAAACCACACACAATCTTCAGACTTTCATCTAACCCTCCTCTGCTTCAGGAACAACTTCCCCAGGTGACCTAGAAAGCTCTGCTTTTGTATCACTTCATGCTTTAAACAGAAGAGCTGAAACAGAGCAAATTTAACCCAAACTACATTGGTAAATAATGCTCAACTTCATCATTCACTTCCGAATTTTGCTTATTTCCTTTTATGTCCCCTATCAACTCTCACAACCCAGCATTTGTTACAGCGTGCTGGTCTTCCTACCTATCTTCAAAGCTTGCAGAACTTTTGGATCTACACATGTTAAAAGTAGGGAGAAAAAAAAGACAGAAAAGTGTGACTTGATCTGAAAATGAGACAAGGAATTCCACACACACCCCCAAGAAGAAATAGAGCAAGCACATGCAATTCAGTTACATAAGACGGCTTACTACGTGAAACTGCAACATACAGGAGGAAAACTGTCCTTTTCACACTGAAATATTCCGTTACCTGAAATAACATACCCTACTCATTCCTTACATACTGAGCTTTTACTAGGCTGTATCCCAAAGACACTGTGGTTTAAATGTGCACAAGACTACAGATATCAACACAAGATCAATTGACTTGAAGAAATATCATTAGTACCTGCTTTCTAATCGAATCCGATAACCAACTGTCTGGCCAATCTTTTCTCTTCTTTCTGCTGCCACTCTTTCAGCCATAGCAATAGCTGCCAAACATCTTGTCTGAGTGCAAAATATACGACAGGGAGCTCCATTTTTGTAACAGTCGTCAAGAAGGAACTGAGGGATCTGTAAAAAAGTGGTTTAAATGTAGTTTTTAGTTTGATAAAGTCACAGCTTTTTTTACCACAGTGGAACAATTTAACTGCGTCTTAATATTGCACAGGTTGCAAAAGGATTCACAATAGGATTATCATTGCAAACATACTTGAAGGGTTAGAAAGGCAGTAAAAAAAATCACTGCAAACATACTTGAAGGGGTAGAAAGGCAGCAAAAATAAATTTCTGACTAAGTTTCAAAAAAAAAAAAAAAAGAAGTTGAAGCTTCTCTCTCCTGCTTCAAAGAAATCTATTTAAAAAATACCTGTAGGTCTATCAGAAAACTGTGCAGAACCATTTATGCTTTTAGTAAGTATCTGCTGGTTTAGTATTTCAAAAGCAAGCAAATGAACTAGAACGCAAGACTTCTGGCTATATAAGAAAACAAAAGCCTTAAAACTAGCATAAAGAAATCCTTTACTACAGAAATATTACAAAATTGGCATTAGTTTTGTATAGATCCTGTTATATTTTTTATTTCATTAAAGAAACATACTTGACTAGTTTTTCCTGATCCAGTCTCTCCTACAATCAAAACAACTTTGTTGTCCTTTATTATTTTGACTATTTCTTCCTGTTTTTCAAAAACTGGCAGTGATTGCCTGAAGGAATCAAACTCTGCTTCCCCTCTCTTCACTGGAACCTGCGGGATACCGTGGTTAAGTCGTCCGCTTGTCTTGTGCACTTCTCTGTTTTCTGTCAAGAGAAGTTAACAATTTACTTCAATACAAAGGAAGGTAAATAAAACATTGCTTAAAAATCATGCATAAAAATGAACATTCCTGACTTTATATGCATCCCTACAAAGTGACAAACCCATCACAATTTTAAAAGACATATTAATAGTAATGTATCCTGTTACAGTGCTTAAAAGAAATATTGTTCAAAGGAGTTATTACTTTCATAGATATTTTGAACAGACTATCTGAATGCATTGTTCAAAGTCAAAAAAGGTCATGAAGAGCAAACAGAGAAACTAAATCCCAGAAAAGCAGCCTGGCATATTTTCTTGGCCTTTGTATCATGTTTACACATTCACTATATAGTCACTGCATAGTAACCTTTAAGTTACTCCAAACTGACAGGCATGCCTCCTTTGAGTCAGTCTTACACAACCTAATGCTCTAATCCGTAAGATTTGTCTTAAATCATACAAATTGAACCATGCTGTACCCAGTCCCCCGGACCCACACAACGTAGTGTGATAGATTAGAGAGCGATACTTAAGTAGCCAAAGAACCTGCACATCTTCAGAGACTACTTTAAATTCAGTATTGTAAATGCTATTCAACAATTCCTTAATGATTACTTTTCAGAAAAATGAAAAGCTTGCTGTAAATTCAATTATACATATTTAATGTGATTAACAGATTAAGACATTAAATTACAAGCACTGTGTTACCAAGGCAGACACAGGCTAAAAGATTAAAAGGGCCAAAAACCATTCTGGAGAAGTAAAGAAAGACAAATTTTACACTATTCCTTAGTTTATGCCTTACATTCCTGAGGAATTGCTTTTCAGCACTTTTATTATACTTTCCTTCTGTTCATTAAACAATCCTATTAAACAACTGAAACAACTGAAAAAGAAAACTAGCAAAGGCAGCACTTAAAAGCATGAACCATCATAAATCAGACACAGCCAGTGAAAGCAGGCATACTGGTACAAGTGTTTTCTCTGTACTACACACAGCTTTGTACACAGAAACACAACACAAAACTCTTACGCTCCCAGAATAAATAACCTTGTTAGAAGCATTCTTTAAGAAAAAAAACACAATATATCAGAAGTCTGTCTTCCAGTGAACTCTTTCATATTCTAGAAATCAAGAAGTCTAGATGGTAGTCCCTCAGGGACCAAATCTATCTTAGAAGATAATGAAACAAAAAAAAAAGCTTCTTATTTTATCAAGAACATGAAATTCTATAAGCAGAATGGCCCGCCCCATTTTCTTGTAAGGGTGTTCTTATACGGCAGTCACGGTAACACCTCACTTCAAATTCACCTCATGGAACTCGTAGGAACAAACATTTCAGAAATGTACTCCCAAATAAAATTGGCTGGAACTAGCTCAAAGATTCAAAACCAACTTGGCACAAGCAAGACACTGGAATGTGGGTGACATCACTGCCTAAGTTCCTCATGACACCAGTTTTAAAAGACCGTAGATTAACAATTAAAAGCCAAGAAAATGCATGGGGTTGTCTGGAGGGAAAGGTGTCATTTGGGACAGGAGAGGAGACAGAAAAGAAAGGGCTTTGTTTTCTGGTTGGGTTGTGGGTTGTTCTTTTTTTTTAAGCAGTGTGGATTCACAAAGCCGTATCAGAAGACACACTGAACATACCAGATTCAACCACACACGCACTTCTTCGCTCCGTCTTTGGCAGAAGTTCTGTTCGTTCTTTATTTGTGACAGAAAATCTCTGAATTAAACTCCGAACAGCACGTTTCGTACTGGGAGTCAAGCAGCAAGTCATCACTGCACGTGGTAGTTCTGATGAATTTCTATAAGCAGAATGGCCTGCCCCATTTTCTCATAATGGTGTTCTTATACAGCAGTCACAGTAACACCGCACTTCAATTTCACCTCATGGAACTCGTAGGAACAAACATTTCAGAAATGTACTCCCAAATAAAATTGATTGGAACTAGCTCAAAGATTCAAAACCAACTTGGCACAAGCAAGACACTGGAATGTGGGTGACATCACTGCCTAAGTTCCTCATGACACCAGTTTTAAAAGACCGTAGATTAACAATTAAAAGCCAAGAAAATGCATGGGGTTGTCTGGAGGGAAAGGTGTCATTTGGGACAGGAGAGGAGACAGAAAAGAAAGGACTTTGTTTTCTGGTTGGGTTGTGGGTTGTTCTTTTTTTTTAAGCAGTGTGGATTCACAAATCCGTATCAGAAGATACACTGAACATACCAGATTCAACAGCACATGCACTTCCTCGCTCCGTCTTTGGCAGAAGTTCTGTTCGTTCTTTATTTGTGACAGGAAATCTCTGAATTAAATTCCGAACAGCATGTTTCGTACTGGGAGTCAAGCAACAAGTCATTACTGCACGTGTTAGTTCTGATCCATTCTTCTTCCTTACAGTCAGGTATCGACTTGCGTCTTTTCTGGGAGGAAAAAAAATAATGTATTTTAGAATAAATAACCTATTTACCTCAATGTAATGATCTTTGATCATAATTCTTTCAAGATGGCTGTCAAATTGTTTTCAAATACAATGTCATAACTAGAAACTTCCAAATAATGTTCAGTGCAGCACAACGCACACGAAAACAGTAGAAGCATCCAAATACCCACCACCAAAACCACCCTCTATTCACACGCAGTAGTGCAGCACAAGCACTACCGACTTTGGATGACTACACCCAGCACAGCCTTACAATTAGGCCTCCGTAACGTAACGCTGCTCTGCTGCCTTTCCGTTAAAGGTCTCTCACTGCATCGGCTCCCCAAAAGACAGCCAGCTCCCTCAACCACACTGTCAATCAGTACCAAGAGGTATCACACAAAACTCCTTTCTAGACTAATTTAAGAGATTTAGACGTTAAAAATCAACAAATAGGCGTAACAGACACAGAAGCAGCCTTCCAGTGGTATTCCAAGCCTTAATGAAATCCAACAGATCAGATTCCCAGGACCTTCATTATCAAAGATTTACAAGGTAGAATTAGAGCCAAAACACTTCATCATAACGCTGCACTTGTTCGTAGGCCAAACTCGGATACTGAAAGGCGAAGAACTGTTCTAAGTACATTTGAAGCTGAACTACCTTGTGCCTGGGCTGCTGTGACATATCAACACTCTGAAAACGTCTCCTAAGGACAAGAACAGAACGTCCCATGGCGAGCCCCATGGCTGGCAGGGGTGCTACAGTAGTGCACGTGTACGGGATGCAGCACTTGGCTGCTGTCAGGGGTGGCTTCTGCGAGGAGAGGCCAGGGCCACCCCGTGTTGGACACAGCCAGCTCCAGCGACCCACCACGGGCACAGCTGAGCCCTTCAGCCACGATGGTGGTGACTCTGTTATAACATATTTAAGAAAGGGAAAAAATGCTGCAGAGCAGCTGTGAGAGAAATGGGTGAGGACAACGTGGGAGAAACAGCCCTACAGACACCAAGGTCAGTGAAGAAGGAGGGGGAGTAGGAGCCCCAGGTACAGCAGGAGAGATTCCCCCGAAACTGTACAGGAGAGACCTCAGTGGAGCAGGTTTATGCTGAAAGGAACTTCAGCCTGCGAGAGAGACCCCATGCTATTTTCTCCCCGTGTCCTGCTCAGGAGGTAGAGTGAGAGACCACGCTGCCTGGGGACCTAGCAATCAGCCACCAAGGTCAACCCACCACAACACGGCTGCTTTCTAAGATGTTGGCTGGGGTTCACCTCCTGGGCAGTGCAAGATAACATTTCAGAATAGCAAAAATAATCAAGCTGGAACAGTACTTGCATGCGCCTGTCCAGGGAAAGGTTGGCAGAAAAGGAAAAATAAACTGCAGTGCTTCCCATGACAATGCTCCCCGTCTTCAGTACTTTGTATGTCAGCCACTTAGAACCACAGAACCACTGGGACTGGGACGGACCTCTACACCTCATCTGATCCAACCCTCTTGCTCAAGCATGGACACCTACAGCCAGGTGCCCAGGACCATGTCCAGATGGCTCTTCACTGTCTCCAAGGATGGAGACTCCACCGCCTCTGTGGTCAGCATGCGCCAGTGCTTGGTCACCCTCACAGTGACCAAGAAAGCGTTTCATGATGTTCCAAGGAAACCTCCTGTGTTTCAGTGTGTACCCACTGCCTCTGGTCCTGTCACTGGGCACCACTGGAAAGAGCCTGCCTCCATTCTCTTTGCATTCTCCCTGCAGGTATTTGTATACATTGATGAGGTCCCCCAAGCCCTCTCCTCCAGGCTGAACAGCCCCAGCTCTCTCAGCCTTTCCTCCTAGGAGAGATGCTCCAGCCCCTTCATCATCTTGGTGGCCCTTCACTGCACTCTCCCCAGCATGTCCATATCTCTCTCCCACTGGTAATCCCAGCACTGGACTCAGCACTCCAGGTGTGGCATCACCAGTGCTGAGCAGAAGGGAAGGATGCCCTCCCTTAACCTGCTGGCAACTCTCCTCCTAACTGGGGGGCCTGGGGGGAATTCAAGAGACAGCCCTTACGTTGTGTGGCACACTGGTGTGTTACCAACACCCTTCTAGCTACCCACACAAAGCACAGCGCTATGAGGGCTGCTATGGGGAATGTTAACTCCGTCCCAGCCAGACTCCGTACAGTACACTGCTAACAAACTTTAGAGGAAAACATGCTAGCTACCAAGAGTTTATAACAAGTTTCTTCAAGTATTCAACACATGCTTGCTTAACTCAAAGAAAAAAACTGATGACACAAAATATTGTCCTATGGTTCCCAAACAATAGCTTTCCTTGTTTACCAACTCTGTGCAAGAAGTACAGACTAATGAATATTAACACTAAAATCATACTCTTTCTAGAAATTCCATGGTGAAAGCCAATCATGATCAACCTTTTAAAGACTGATCATTCCAAAAGTTATTGCAAGCATAAATACTAAGGAAATCTGCGGAGACTAAACACGAGTAGAACATCTGAATTTATTTTAAAAGGAAATCCATGTTAGTGCGTTACGCATTATTACAGTTAAAAAAAGCATACCGTTTATGTCTTCCCGGGTGAATATTCCCTTTTTCTTAGCTGTTTAAACATCAGCTCAACTATTCTCCAAGCTCCATGTCACCCTAGACTCCCCACATTTAAAAAAAAAAAACAACACACAAAACAGAAACAGGGCATAATTGTCCCACTCTACACCGCACTGGTGTGGCCCCACCTCAAGTACTGTGTGCAGTTTTGGGTCCCTCAATGTAAGAAGGACCCCAAACTATGGAAATGTGTCCAGAGGAGGGTGACCAAGATGGTGAAAGGTCTTGAGGGCAAGACTTCTGTGAGGAGAGGCTGAGGTCACTTGGTTTGTTCAGCTTGGAGAAGGCTGAGGGCTGACCCCATCCAGTCTACACCTTCCTCAAGGGCAGCGGTGGAGGAGGAGGTGCTGATCTCCTCTCGCTGGTGACCAGCGACAGGACATGGGGAAATGGAATGAAGCTGCGCCAGGGGAAGTTCAGACTGGACCTTAGGAAACGGTTCTTCACTGAGAGGGTGGTCGGTGCCTGGAACAGTTTCCCCGGGGAAGTGGTCACCACACCAAGCCTGTCAGGGCTCAAGGAGCATCTGGATGACTCATTCAGTCACATGGTTTACTTCTAGGTTGTCCTGCGAGGAGCAGGGAGTTGGACTCGATGATCTTATGGGTCCCTTCCAACTTGAGCTATTCTACAAAACGACGACCAAAAATACCACAGAATCTACTAGGCAACTGCTCAGAGACACTCACAAAGCTCTACAAAGAATCAGCAAGGATTCAAGCAGAGTTTACCAATTACGCTTAAGCACGTGCACCGCACAACCCAAGCATGTTCCTGCTCACCATCTGCAGACACCTGACAAGGCTTTCTAACACTCTATGTTCCCAAAATATGACGCAAAGATACACAAGTTCAGTCAAATTTATTGTCTCGGGCATTTGTGGCAAATATCAGCTATACCACTCCTGAGACTGGAATCACACTGGAAGTGCAACTTCACTTGAACAGCACTAAGCTTGAATAAGATCTTCTCAGACCAAGCTACATGTTCAACACAATCAGTGCTGGACAGCATTTACTCCCTCATTAACTACAGGTCCAGAGTACTAGCGATTTACACTACTCTGCAACAATCATGAAGCATCACCAAAAATGAGGAACTGCAAATGCTGTTGTGGATTTCCATCACTCCACACACACACAAGTTACACATGGCACTCCATCCATCTGGGTTTTTCCTGCAACCTTCCCTGTCCTGTAGCTTTGCCACCTGAACTCCCAGGGGAACTGGATTCTCAGCTTTCACATAAGCTCACCAGGTCAACAAACAATGGTTTTCTCTTCAAAGCTCAGAGCAGGGTAAGAGAAAGAAACATCATAATACCTGCATACAAACCCTTTTCTCCTGCACTTCTCAACAGAAGCACTCTTTTGGATGTGCTACTCCAGGTTACATCTCACGCGTCAAGGTATGAGATTCTATGCCCCTATTCTACGGGCACACAGTAGTGCATGAAAAACAGAAGAGATTTTGGTGAGAAGTCTTTTCCATGGACCCGTGAAATCCACAAACAGTGTAAGCGCATCCTACCTCAAACTAAGCACAAGTTTGGTTTTTTTAAGGACACATAGAATCATAGCATGGTAAGGGTTGGAAGCAACCTTAAAGATCATCTGGCTCCAACCCCGCTGCCCAAAGCAGGGACAATATCCACTAGACCAGGTTGCTCAGAGCTCCATCCAACCTGGCCTTGAACACTGCCAGGGAGGGGGCAGCCACAGCTTCTCTGGGCAACCTGTGCCTGTGTTTCACCACGCTCATGGTGAAGAATTTCTTCCTAATATCTAATCTAAATCCGCCCTCTTTTAGTTTAGAGCTGTTCCCCCTTGTCCTATCACTACACACCCTTGTGAAAAGTCCCTCTCCATCCTTTCTGTAGGCCTCCTTCAGCTACTGGAAGGCTGCTATAAGGTCACTCCGCAGCCTTCTCTTCTCCAGGCTGAACAGCCCCAACTCCCTCAGCCTGTCCTCATCGGAGCGGT